TCCAGCGGCCTGATTGTCTATTCCTGCACCAGTCGCCTTATGGCGCAACTCCCTGGTATGGAGAGACGACCTGACCTCTTCCAGAGACACGGTATCTTTCCCAACGATGAAAGATTGTACGAAATTTTCATACGACAATGGTAGTGAAACCAACAAAATTAAGGCAGCATCTTCATCCTCTACCTTAACATCAATATTACGCAACTCCAAAAGAATTGTATTTAATTGATCCAGATGGTCTCTAAGAGGGGTACCTTCCTGCATTCGGAGACCGAACAGACGTTGCTTCAGAAGCAACTTGTTGGTTAAAGACTTTGTCATGTATAGACTTTCCAGCTTCAACCATAGACCAGCGGCAGTTTCTTCATCTGCAACCTCAGTGATGACATCATCTGCAAGACACAACATGATTGTCGAATGTGCCTTCTCCTCGAAAGCAGCCGACTCAACATCGTCAGCCCTAACGTCCTTTGATAATGGCGTCCACAAGCCTTGTTGCTTCAACAAAGCTCGCATCTTGATCTGCCATAGACTAAAACTATTCCTCCCTGTGAATTTGTCGATCTTTACGTTCAAAGCAGACATCTTTCTCACCAGATTACAAACCTCGATTACCCGAGCTCCGATACCAGTTTGTTATGACGAATGTAAGAAAGATAACAAACAATAAAGAAACGAAAGAACAAACACACACAGATTTAACGTGGTTCACCAACAATATGTTGGCTACGTCCACCTAACAGAAGAGAGGAGAGCTTTTACTGATTGAGGAGAGAGATTACAGAGGGATTTTCTAGGTGACTGATCTATGTATGAATGCCTTACAAATGAACCTATTTATTGGAAAGATGGCAGCCAACTTGGCTGCCTAAATCCAGTGGGAACTGAGCAGTTGACAGCCCACAATACTGCTGTCATACAGCTGGCCCACCTCACCAACTAGCAACCCACTTGCCCAATTGTCTAGGCCTCCTTCCAGCCACTTTCCAGACAGGTGCAGCCATTGTTGACTAGTCAAATAGGTTAGAATTCAAGGCATTCCAACAATACTCGAGTAAGGGATTTATATAAGCAGGTCGGCCGGGAATATAATGAATTAATGAACTTGAGCCGGCCGGGCCGGGCAAAATGTGGAGTGAATGTTGATTAATACAGCGGGAATAAAAAATAATAATAATAATCTGAAGTTACAAACCGTTCGGATTTTACAATTAAGAATTAAAATAAAGAAAAATGAATCTTCAAGAAGCTCGAACGGGAACGAACAGTGGGAAGAGCACGAACGGACAAAGCAGGAACACGAACAGCAACGCCAATATGAGCCTCGGACGGGAAGCAGGGGGTCGCCGGAGCAGTGTCTCTTCGGTCTCAAGTGCATGCATGCTCATTTGAACGGCACTTTGTTAATCACGAAGTATCCACACGTGTTTAATTCAGTCTCGTAAAAATTTAGCCCCGCCCCGCCTAGGCACGCGCGCGATCCAGACGAACGGCAGCGGCGGCGGCGCGCGAGGAGTCCTGTTCTTGATCATTAGCTCAATTAAAATCTTAATCTTAAATATGAGAATATGAAAGGTTCAAAAACTGGTGTGGGACAAGGGTTTTTACTCTTCCCTCATATTCAACTTTGAGAATTAATTCCTCATTCACCCGAGTACCATTTATGGTGTGTAATATGTCAAGACATTCGTCTTACTTACGAGATTAAACGTCCATAATTATTTCGGAAAATAATATTGTGGACCCTACCAAATTTATGTCCAAAAATGTCCAATTTATTTAAAAATTTCCAACAATCCCCCACATGAATGAAAATTAATTCATGTAACTGGCAATAACTCTGAAGTTGAAACCTGCAAGAGTAGGTAGGTTTTATGCCTTTGAACCTACTCCTTAAGTATACCTTCTCTACTGGCTGTTTAGTAGAACATGATGTCTTTGAACTGTACTGCCGTTTATGTAAACGACGATATACAATACACAAGTTTCAACCAACCATCATTCAGTTCTCATGGGTGTGCCCATTAAGGTCGTGAAACACGCATCTAGTTTTGCGAGAGTGTCATTGCTGATTAAATACGGCTTTCGGATGGTGTTTGAATCAGCAATGACCCCGACACTAAATTCTTGCGAATATCTGGCACATAGAGCACGTCGTTAAGCGTTAGCTCCTTGCCGGAAGTCATTTTTAGCTTAATCTTTCCAACCCCTTGAACCTCTGATTGGGCCGAGTTGCCCATCCAGACCTTGTCACCGGAGGTCTCTTGGAAGTCGTGAAACATGCTCCTGTTTGAGCAAATATGGTGTGTGGCTCATGTGTCCACAAACCACTCCCTCGGGTTTGACCCAACAAGATTCACTTCGGTGACAACCTCGTAGAGGTCCAAGTTGTCGAGCTGTGCACACATGGCTTCGGTGGTTTTCTTCTTGCCCTTTTGAGGCTTCTTTTTCCTACAATCGGAGGAACGATGCCCGGTAATGCCACAATTGTAGCACTTCCCGCTGTATTAATCAACAGTGAAAATGTAAAATACTTCTTCCGTCCCATATCTTTCTTATTGGCGTTTTTTCATTGCTTATATGATAAAATAAAATATTCTTGTCACCACTTATTTTATAAAATTTTTTTATATACTTTTAGAATATGTAAGTTTCATTTTTATTTCTATATCAATATTTCAATAAAATATTTTATTGAAAACATTTGGGGTTTTCCTTTGTTTTGCACGATGCGAAGAAAGATTTGAGGCGGAAGGAGTAGAAACACGAGTAAGATATCAAAATGACATTTTCTAATCAAGTTTTTTTTCCAAATTAACCATCTAAGGTTATAATTATAATCTCACTCCAATTGCGTGAAGACTATCGAGGGAAAAAATTCATATTTATAAAATATCCATGTAAGTAATTACTCCCTCCGTCCTGCAAAAAAGTTCTCATTTTGAATAGTGTTTAGTCAAATATTTATATTACTTGCTTTAACTACAAATTCTGAGAAAGGTATATTGAATTATATAATAAATTTAATATAATTGGATTCATCTTAAGATCTAGTTTTGATATCTCAAATTTTTTTAGTATTTTTTTATTTAGATTATATTTAATTTATGGTCAAAGCGTGTAACTCTTTGACAAAAAATACATCTGAATGGGAACTTTTTTGTGGGACGGAGGGATTATTATTTATTAAAGGCTATTTAGAAAAAATATTTCAATTATAAAACGCCATATAAATTATTATGATATATTTATTAAGAACTGATCTTAAAAAAACTATTAAATATAAACGATCATTTTGAAAATTTACTCTTTGAAGTAAATTAATATTCTGTTCAGTCCATCAGTTTGAAACACAAGACAAAATATAATTACATAGAAATTTAAAAATAAAGGTAGTTAATATGATGATATTTATGTTAACAGATAAGATTAGATAAAAATAAACATTAACCACATAAATATGTTTACATGACTACATATGATAGGAGATAAAAAATAGTAAAACAATATTTTAAAAAAAAGTAAAAATAGACAAAAATAGTGAATGAAGGGTCTGTCTAGGCATAACTTTAAAGATAAGCATTTTTATAAAATTTTAATGGCACGGATTACTTGGAAATTTAGCAACCTCATATATGTTTTGAGGCATTGAAAAGAACTTGATTATTTTCCAAATGCAGGCATTGCATATAAAATTCTATGGACTATTCTTGTAATTATGGTAACTATTAAAAAAATTGGAGTAGCTGAAATCTTACTTATTATGATCCACAATGAAGAAAGTTTTAGCGAATTAGTATTTAGCAATAGCAATGATACATTATAGCTATTGAGATTGAAACTTTAGAAAATAGAGAGTATAGATTATGAAGATATGATCAACCAATTTCCTTTGAAGAATATTATGAGTAATTTACGAATCATCAATTAGTTATAACAATATATAATTATATACTATGATTTAGTAATCTTGTTATAATATTATAACATTCAATGTCATTAACACAAAATTTGTTTATAATATAAACTTTAATCAATTAGATTTAAGGGTTCTCTTTTCATCTTCTCAAAGGGAAAGGGGAACGCCACGAATAAAGGGTAAAACTAGGGATGGGTAAACAAATTAATTGGATTGAGTTTTTTCTATCATTAATGACCTCTCAATATATCAAAAATTGCGTGATATCACCCCAAATTTTAAAATTTGCACCAGTACCCCTAAATATTTCATAATATTGCACCAAAAGTCCTTCTGTGCCAGGTTTTGGATCGTATTAAGCATAGATACACTAAAATATACATATTGAAACTTGATGAAGATGTAACTGATGAAGATCTTTATTGATTGATCTCCAACCTTGAATTTCAGTTACCGAAGACTATTACAAAACTCGCGCGTGCGAATTATAACTTTAAATGGATTCATAAATGCTCGGCGCATGATATTATAAACGCACACCTAAATCTAGCGCAAAAGGACTAATGGTGTAATTTTTTAAGTTTAAAGAGAATTCGTGCAATTTTTGAAATGTTCAAGTGTAAGTGGTGTAAAAAAAAAACTCGACTTGGTTAGTTTGTAATTTGTACCCATCAAATTAAATTGGGGTAATGAGTTGCATACACCCATCAAATTTAATGTTAGAATGCAGAGAAAATCAATTCAAATTCTATTTTTGGATGTAGAGACAATGAAATAAAGAGTAAAGTAGGGGGAATAGGGATGACTAAAGAAAGAAAGAAATGGGATGGGCAAAGAAATGATGAATGCCAATGGGAGTTACTCCCCCTTGTTGCATCATAACCCCATGTTCCCATCCATCAATACGCTGTCAAATTTCCAAAAGCAGGTCTGGCTGGTCCTCCATCTCTAAAAAGTGAAAACATTTGTCCGAAAGTTATTTTGAGCTAGCCACTTTAAAGAAATAGTTATATTTTAAATTTAGGGTTAGTTTTTATTTTTTGGCTATCAATTAATTAAAACTTTGACTACTAAAATATTTATTTGTACATTCAAAGAAATAATTTAAAAAAATATCATAGCAATGGACATGTGAAAAAAATAGGCCATGTATTATGGCTAAATCCACCTATTTATGATTAAATGGACAATTTTTTCTTTAAAATTAGATGAAATGGATATTAATACCAATTTTTACAGAAAAATGTATCCATCTAACATAAATAGGGTGAATTTAGCCATAGTAAGGGTGGATATCACAATATCCATTACCTTTTATCAAAAGAGGAATAATTTTTTTAGGACATTTGGAAATTTATTTAAGAAATATGGTATCATTGAAAATAAAATATAAAATTACTAAAGATTTCATAAATAGTAATCATTTCATAAATATTTAAGGATTTCATTCCTTAAATACCCTACACTGATTTATGAAATATTAGTTATACTTTGACTCGAATACAACTACAATTCATCGATGGGGATGAAATACCATTGTTCATCCATATATAACATTAAGAAATTTACCTAAATAGAACTAAAACATAATGACTTTCCCAATATATGACCTTATGTTTTTATTTCCCAATGTAGGACCTTTGGTCATTATGAAGTAGTCATTATTCAAGTAAATGTCCATCATTACTCTGGACATTATTTCTCCCATTAAGTCATTATTAAGTCCTATTTAGAGAATAAAATAGTTTAAGTCCTATATTAGGAAAGTCATTATTATGTTTTAGTCTTATTTAGTACAAATTTCACTATAACATTTTCAATTTCATAATGGATTAATATTATTCACGCACGCAGGGATAGATTATTTCTTTCCGTATAAGATGATATTTACGCTAGCGTTCTATAACATTTTACCATCTACGCGTAAAAATAAACTATCTTTAAGTTGTGTTTGAAAATATTTTCCAAAGAAAATATTTTTCAATCATATTTTTCACTATTTGGTAGGAGGGAGGAAAAATTATTTCAAACAATTATTTCTATTATTACTCCATTTGTTTTTCGAAAGAATTCCTCTTTCACTTTTTTCGTTCCTCTAAAACCCTTCTATTTTTGTAAATTTAAAATTTAAATAAAAAAACTAATAATTCAAACAAAAAATAAAATTTAGGGTTTAAAATTTAAAATTTTATAATGAAAATTTTTTTAAAAAAATTAAAATTAAAAATTTAAAATTAAAAATTTAACATTTAAAATTTAAAATTTACAATTTAACATTTATAATTTAAAATTTACTATTTGGAATTTGAATTTTAAATTTTAGCATAACACTCTCAAAAATAGTACTCCTTCCGTCCCTCTAAGATCTTCTCATTTTGACTTTTTGTGGTATTTAAGGAGAGTTGAAAAAAGGTGAAAGTTTACCATAATACTCTTAATAAAAATGAATGGATTGTGTTAAATGAGGTGGGTGAAGTATAATAAATAAAGTAAATAAGGGTAGTTGTATTTTAATTGTTAAAACATGAAATGAGAAGATTTATTGTGGACAAAGGAAAAAGACTATTGGGAAGATCTATGGGAGACGGAGGGAGTATTTATCTAAAGAGTATATATGTCTTTCATAACACTCTCAAAATCTTCCTCAACTGTGGTAGAAGCTGCAGTTCTAAAGAGTTCTTTGAGCTCCAGACTTGACCTTTTTTTTTCTGAAATTCTCATACATGTGCCTTCTGGAACACCTCTAGTAAGCCTTTTTTATTATCACTGGTGTAGCATACTTTCTTCTCAATAGGATCACCAATAACAACAGCATGATGGTGATTTAAAAAGTACGGAGTAGTTCCAATTTGGATAATTCTCTACAGGTAATACAGCAAGAGCATTTGGAAACATGATGTCATTTCCATCCCTTGCCACTGCACACAGCAACTGTCCTCCAAAGGGTGCCTTTAAAAAGCATCCATCAATTCCAATGATAGGCCTGCAACCTGCTAAGAACCCAGATATAAGAGCATCATATGTAAAATAAAAAACATCTCAAACACAGGGATATTGTTCTTGTTTAGATGGCATCCAATCTTGAAATATGCTCAAAGCCACTTTGATTACGCTTTATCAAAGTGAAACAATAATCTCAGAGCTTGGTGTATTGCCCTCCAGCATCTCCATGGATTAGTCTGAATGCTTCTCTCCTAGTCCTTTGTGCCTTGTGTACCCTGCAATTATCTTTGATATTTGAAAACAATCTAGTCAAGGTTCCACAGGTACATCCTTGACATGCTTGATCCTGTGACTTTAATACTTGTAGGTAACTGCTGTGTTGTCAAACTTCCACTCACCGTGTCTGAAATGTATGACCACCTTGGACCCATGATGCTCTTACTCTTCAATTATCACAGTTCCGGCACTTGACTATGACTGTTTTGGTCATTCTTCTTAAACTCAAGCTGAATTCACGTCTCACTGAGTAATTTGTAATGACCATCTTGTACTCATTGCCATTCTTGAAATTCAACGAAGGTGCTAGTACAAACTTTTCTATCTCAGAATCGGACCAGAACTATAGACATTTGTGATCATCTACACAGCTTATGTCTTCATCCTCCACATCATTAAACGCACCTTCATTCTCAAAATTACCTCTATCATTGGCAGAATGGCAGCACCATTTTTCATCTTCTTGTCCTTTTTTCCACCACTTCCTCGTTTTTTAGCAAGCATAACTTCACCTTATTGCTCATTTGATCATCATTGTTGTCAAATAAGCCCACCTTATCAGACAAATCCAGGTCCTCAAAAAAATTCAGGAACTCACTTTTCTGCCTCGAGAGGTTGTACACCATTTGCATCATCTGTTTCACCATTTTCATCACCCATTTTAACATGAAATACCCTCTCTTCCTCCTCATCGTTACCAACACCATTACCATACCCAACACCATTATCATTCACAACAGAATTATGCATAACAGAATGGTCATTCATAGCATGATCAGTACCAACATGAAGAATTTGACCAAGTAACTCCAGGAAAGAGCATTGAATAAACTCTTGAGGATCCTCAAAGCCAGTGTCTACATTCATAGCTACAAGATTTTTTTTAAGAAACAAGACATAAATAATTAAAAATGAACTAGGTCATGTACTGAATACAAAGACAATTGAAACTAGCAAACAGAGAGAGAAAATATATATTAGGGGAGGGGGCAGGTTTAATTGATTTAAACTGATGAAAAGATCATTAATAAACACTGAATTTTATAATTTTTTGAACAAATAACAATTGTTCAAGCAATCCAACATATGTAAACAATTCCTTAGACCTGTTTCTCCCACGGGAAACACAAGATTAAGCAGAAACCTAAAGTATTACGCATAAATATCACATGTAGAGTTCTAATTTATTTTCATTTAAATATGAATAATCCAGATTATCGAAATCAAAGAAGAAATTTTGAAAAATAAAAGAAAAAAGATTGACCGTTAAGAGAGATGTTGGGGTACCAGCGGTCCGCGGATCATGACAACCCTCACAACATCAATCATTAAGGAGAAGAATAAATAAATAAATTGTACCTGGGAATGAAGATCGGAGATGGCGAATTCAAAATATGGATAGTCAGATTTTAGCAGCGTCCCCTCTTCATTGTTTTCAACGTTCTATTTCCTGTTCTTTTTGTCTTTTGGCATATTTGGGTGGGTCATGGTGCAGGAGTTCTGCGTGGGCCTTTAGGGGCATATTTGTCTCTTTCTAATGTTTCACCAGAGACTGATCGGAAAACAATGGAGGGGGAGAGTGTGTCACTTTTTGAAACTACGAAGACTTTAGAAATAAGTTATTTAAACAAGCGGGTGGTGAAGTTATTAGGCCTTCATAATAAAGTTACAAGAATAGCATTGATATACATACATCCAATTAAGTAGATCTAGATATATACCGGACGGAGATCATCAACTACTGATTTTTCATTTTTAGCACTATTCTTAATTACATTCCATAAAATTTAAATGAGAAAGTCTTGTACCGGACAGAGGGAGTACAATTAGTGAAACTACAAAGGTAAACCCTCAACTAATATGATGTGCTGCAATTGTAAGGGCATGGATAGGTGTCAATCATGTTGACCCTCTTTCTGTCAAAGTACCAATCTCTGAATAATTCATCATATGTCTGTTGAAAAGTGAAAAGACACAAAACAAATCACATTAGTACGTAATTATCATGAAAGGCAAATCTCACATTACCTTCGATTTTAATATTGGTGTGAAGTTCAAATATAAAATTTATATATACATACATACATACATACATATATATATATATATATATATATATAAAAGTTAAATCAAAAGTGTATAACACCAGTGGTGATGATCTCAAAACTATTTTCTTGTAATAAATAAATAAATAAAATTTAAAAAACTTGTAGGAATAATACTATGTAAAATAGTTGTATATGATGGGGCAAATGTGAATGTTAAGTAATTTTTTCATCCAACTTTTTTTGTCACATACCATATTTGGTCATTTGTGATGTTGACACTTATTCTTACTTTCTAATTTTACCTCTATTTTATTTGTAGTTGCATAAAATAGGATGTGATGTGCAAATTATTAGTGAAACAATATGATATAATAGATAGGTTAATATTTTGTAGGGGTAAATGGGAAATTTTAATATAAAATGAAAGTGTTTTTTTGGTACGGGGGAGATGTTTATGAAAAAATGATACACTCCATATAAAGCTGTGATCACTCACCATGGCTTCATCCAAAAACACTTTTCCACATTTTGACTTTTTAGGTCAACTTTAGTTATAATATAAAGGAATAATTCACACGAATACTCTAACAAATCTGTAACTTTACATTAGTACTTTGAAATTGAATAATTGACATCATTGCTCCTAAAATTTACTCAATTTTACACAAATATTCCGGATTGCCGACTAAGCTAAATATGTGGCAATTTATTAAGTATGAGTTGGTAACAAATTAAAAATAAATAAAATACCTTGAATGCGTTATAAGTTATGACTAACCATCGATCACTGTCGATTTAATATAAGAATGTGTTAAAACTGAAAATTGAACTGTGTTTATATTATTATCACATAACTTGTGAATAAGGTTTCAGATAAGAAGAGAGAATTTTAAAACTAATATTTCAATTTTTTAGTTTTACCACATTTCATACCAGCCGGGCATTCAAGGTATTTTCTTTGCATTTTATTTGTTACCAACTCATACTTAATAAATGTCCAATCATCATCTAAAATGACACATACTCAGCTTAATTGGCAACCTGGCGTTTTGGTGTAAATTGAGTACTTTATGGAGCACTGGCATCAATTATTCAATTCCGGAGTAATAATGTAAAATCGCAAAATTTTTGGAGGGTGTGAATTGTTCCTAATATAAATTTAATATAATTGAGTACATTTTAAAATATACTTTTGATCAATCAAATTTTTACAAATTGTTTTTACATATAATTATATTTATTAATGGTTAAAATGTATAGAAAATTGACCAAAAAAGTCAAAATGTGTAAAAAAAAATTTGTACGGAAGAAGTATTAGACCAATTAAATTATCTTTATTTGATTTCATTAATCACTTGTTAAAATAGTATAGTCAAATACTAAAAATATAGTCATATACTCATATCACATCTTATACTACGTATTATAAATAATAAAAATTGAGGTAGTTTTTAAATAAATAAATAAATTTTATTTTAAAATATAGTACGGAGTAAATCATTATTTAAATAGGTTTCCCTTGGCACAAATTTAATTAATAGGTGTATCTATAAATGTCGTGTTTCCATTTTACAAGGTTACAACATAATGGTTAATAGAATATATTTTTAATTCAAGTTTTTTTTGTAAATAAATTCAGTCAACCATCACAAATTTGTAGATTAGAAACCCCGCATTTATAGAATTATAGAATAGAGTTAACTAATTAAATTTGTGGGGAGGGCAATGCAGATATACCTCTTTAGTTCCTCCAGGTGCAAGAGAATACCAACGATAATCGAAGAGCAGAGCATGACTAAAGGGAGAGTAAATCAACACTCCTTTTTGTGAGTTGTTCCTTTGTTCCCGCAACACGTCCAAAAACTCTAATCTAAGCTCTGAAATTATGTATACACTGGCTAATTACTCCGTACAAACTAGGAAGTAAAAAACAAGTTACCACTTACCAAAGTAGTCAATTAAATGGTACAGATTAAATGCTAAATACAAAAATCGTGAATTACAAATTATATACAAAGTATGTGTGTGTCTATATATATATATATATATATATATATATATATATATATATATATATATATATATTCAAACCTTGCATATCTTTGATCAGTTGACTTGAGGTGCAATTTGGGTTTTTCGAACAAACCGCATGCTCATTTGACAACGTATAGTTGATCTGAGATATAGACACATATGGCATATGATGAGTATGAACAATTATATTGGATTAATTGCTACAAGGTTGTAATTATTACGGAGTATGTGGGATTACATAATAATAATAATAATAATAATAATAATAATAATAATAATAATAATAATAATACAGAGTAGTAATTATATCAATAATAATAGTAATAATATAAATAATAATAGTAATTATATAAATAATAATAATACTCGGTAATAAATAGATTGGCCAATATAATAACCTGAACAGTATCAAATGCTGACATTAGAAAGAAGATGGGAGTTTGGATATCAGCTTGCAAATTTTGCGGAAGGAAACACTGCATATGCTCTCTATATCATTATTTCTCCAAGATAATTATGAAAAAAAGTATGAATATCTTATTTATGCAATAAAAGAATAAAGATAACTTTACCATTGCTGGGGGGAATTTCGAAGTACAAGATTCAGGCAAAGCGGGTGTGGATCCCTGTTTAACAAAAATGATTCCATTATACTCTATTATCTTAATTAAATACCAAAAATCATCTAGTACTCTAGGTTCATTTAAGTTTTCTTAAAAAGTTTTTTTCAGTGGAAAAAGGCCAGGCATTATATAAAGTACGAACTATTTAAGTACTTTCATTGAAGGAGCTATACCAGTATTTTAATGAGACAGGATGGAGTATTATAAATGATACTTACATGCATCTCAATCAATCCCTCAAAGATGGATAGAAATTTATTTCCACGAGTGTGATGTTTCCTGCAAATTTTATTATCAAATTTAACTTTTTTTAATTGATTTTACTTTCATCATCTTCATAGAGCCGAAAATCCACTATTTTTTGGTTTAGGGGTATGATGTGTGTCAAGGAACCAACTCAGCCAAAAGCTCAAACTTGTGGTCATGGCCCAAGAAAGGTTCTTTTTATTCTAACACACCCCTCACGTGCAGGTGTAGTTTTTTCAAACCATGCACGTGAAACCTTAAATTTTTTAAAACTGGGTGGCGCTAAATTTCGAACCCGTGACCTCTTCTTAGTCAGCAACGCTTTGATAGCATGTCAGGGAACCAACTCAACCAAAAGCTCAAGCTTGTGGTTGTGGCCCAGGAAAGGTTTTTATATTCTAACATCATTTAAACTATCTCTGCTTCTTTCAATAGTGAATAAAAATTAATCAACACAACTTTTAATGCTCATCATGGGTCATCTGGAAAGAGTCATTCCATATTTAAACACAGGGATCACGCTGCGTACATTTGACCCCCATTATCCGCAATGTGTGAGAGCCTTTGAGGCACCGAGGTAATGTTGTTGTAGTTGTTTAAAATGATTTTTTATTTCGTAAAAAATGGGAAATCCTAGTTGATTTCAAGGGGTAATACTTACGGAAGAAAAAAATATCCACTATCGGAGAAACACTTGACTCTAGAAGTGGATGGAAAATAACCACGAAATGCATCACAATAAATGGTTGCAGCAACTCCTCCAGCTGAGCTTCCGGCTAAAAGAACCTGTCCATATTAGTTTAAAAGAAAAAAAATAAAAATAGTGATAATGTTAAAAATACTAAAACTAAATGAATAATGAGAACGAAAGATGTATGTATTCAGAAATTATTTTCTCACAAAAAACTAAATTCCCACAAACCATCGATCACTAACAAATTGTGATCCACTTTAGAACATGTCCAATAAAAGATTATCTAGTCAGCAAGTGGTTCATGAGTGGAGTGTCAAGCTTTGCAATGGCAAGTCATTACTTTTACCACTTATTACTTTTTTATGCGTTAATTATTCCAAATTAATTTCTTACAAAAAAAAATTCATAAATAAAAAAAGAGAGAAAAGAGGCGTAAGTGCCACGCACAAGACCCTCCATGTGTGGTGAAATGATGATGCCACACAAGGCAAAAAGAAAAGAGGGGTAGCTTGTGCTGAGGTGGTGTGGCATGGTAACCAAACACCTTACCATTGCCGCTGCTCTTATGCTTCTTTTTTAAATTTAAAAGTGGAGTACTAAGATTATATACAAAACCCACATTCCAAATGTAGTAAATGGGTCACTAACATTTTCAGCACTTCCCATCCCTTTGGCCAATAGTTCCTGCATGACTGCTTTAAAAATCCTGGCACCCCTAAAGTAATATGTAGTGCCCTACAAAAGAGTAATAGCACAATTAATACATACAGATTGGAGTATATGAGTTTGCATGTGTGAAATTGAAGGACTACTAAAGCATGACATATACTCATACGTGACACTCCCTCCATCCCTAAAAATTCTTCCTCTTTCATTCTTCATCCTTCATCGGTCCCAAAAAAATTTCCATTTCTATTCAAAAGCCACTTTTACCCCTACTAATTATTACCATATTTATAACATGATATCTATTCACTACTAATCTGATCATCACATCCAATGGTACTTTTGGAAAGTCAACACAATAGACTCCGCTTAAATCCCTTAAACATCAATATAGGAAGGATTTTAGGGACAAAGGGAGCATTATATAATGTTTTCAAGACTAGCATTTAACGTACATTTTTTATTGTTATATCGGAGTTTCCGGTGAATGAAGAGCCATCACAATACGTAACTGAAACTTTGTTCCAGTTGAAGAATTCTAAAACGTTTCATGAAACAAACATGTTAGCAAAAAGAAATTAAACAAAGTTGAATTTCAAAAAACAAAATTCAACATGTGTGTGTGTGTGTATACCAGGATTTTCATCTCTTTTGGTAAGTAGCAAATGGTTATAAAAAGCAGCAGGAGGAATATCCTGGCCAATTTTTCTATAGTCTATATATTGCAGGCAGTCGGTGATGTTTTTGCACCATCCTCCACCCTAAAATTAAATAACAACTATCTTCTCATTAGAAGAAATGGTGAAATATTTAAAACAAGGATATAAGTGCGCATAGACGTAACACACAAAGCAAGCATGTAAGTACTTACATTGAGGAATACAAGCCAATTCCTCGTACCATTTCCAAACCCTTTGAGAAAGAAATAAGATGCTGGTTGTCCGGTCAAGCACACTACATATACATACATAAGATGTTAGGTCATTAAAGTTGGTACATGTTGGGAAATCTCCCTATTTACCTAATATTAATTATGATGGAGTTAGTTTTATTGTCGGAGTGGAAAAGAAAATAAAATAAATAAAGAAAAATAAAGGATGTGATGAAAGTGAAGTGATGTGCAATGTGTGGTTGTGGAGAAGAACATATATGGAGTATACACGGAGTACTATTGTGTTTGGGTGCATTGAATAAAAGAAAAAGACAAAAGAGGAAGGAGAGAAGAAAGACGAAGAGAGAGATATAATTACAGAGTATTATAAAAGGGAGTTTTATTTACTCCATGTATGTGGTGTACCTCGCCACCATAAGGAAGAGAGAGAGAGAGAGAGAGAGAGAGAGAGAGAGAGGCCAAAGAGTGTTGGAAATGTAGTCCCAGGGGAGGTGAGAATTTTCTAGTGTAAGAGAAAATTCTCATAGAGAGAATATCAATTGTTGTATCATTGAGATGTTGTACTCCAACTGATACTATAGTGAAGAAGTTTATCCGTAAGGATCGTGATTTTTCCCCTAGTTGAGAGGGGTTTCCACATAAAGAAATCTTGTGTTTGTGCTCTTTATAGTCCATGTACTACTAGGAGTAATATTAATAAACTACAGAGTGTGTTACAATAACAATTCACAAATATAAAAAAATTATTGATTGGTTACCTGCTCCATCATCAACAGTTACGAAAGTTGGATTTACTAAAGTGTCATTGCCTGAAAATTATACATTAATTAATTATTAGAAAAGTAATAGTAATAGATAGTTGATTAACTATTTCATACATTATTTGTTGGTGCGTGGAGAACAACATTTTTCTAGCATAAGACGTTTGTTAACTAGGTTTAGATTTTAAACATTTTTTTAATATGTTCTGAATATGCAGAATACTTTTGATATTTGCAAAGCTAAAAGATACAATTGCATTCAAAAAAAGAAAAAGATGCAGTTGAATAATTTAATTCCAAAACATAAAGTTAATTGCTCGGTAACTTTTTCTCTCCGGCAAAAAAGTTCAAATGAAACAATATTTTTTTATAATGATGCCTACTTTACCAGTTAAAAATGATCCAGATTATCTCAATATGACCACAAGAAAATAGGCCTTTATTATGCATGCTGTTTAACAACTCTTTTGTGTAACAGCACTTTATTCCATGCCATTCGATAGGCCTTTATTAATTGATGACAAGAAAATGTCAAAACTGAGGTGCGTGTGTTTAAGGCTGGGATGATCAATTCTCTGCCTTACATTTTACAATTGTGAGTTCCGGTGTAATTCATTTCCCTTGAATTTTTGGCTGGGATGATCAATTCTCTGCCTTACGTTTAGACATTTACCTCTCTACGTCCGAGTATGGATAAGGTTTGTCTGTATATTACCATGGACAGGCGCGTGTGTTTAAGGCTCGCATAAGTATTGAGCATGAAACTTATGTAATTTTACTTTTGTAATGGGGGGTTTTAATAAAAGTATATTCTTAATGATTTTTTACACCTATGCTTTCTTAGAGATTGCATGCAATTTAATAATTTAATAAGTATCACAACGGGGAAACACATAAAGTCAAGCTAGGTTCTATTAGGCTCATCCCCCACCTCAGATGTTCCAAAAAAAAGGTTTTGGGACGGAGGGAGTAATATCTAACTATTATGCTTTTGCATTTTGAAAATTTTGCAAGAGTATACTCTTAAGTCATTTATTGGAGCTGAGCCAAAGGAAAGCATCCCTTCTAAGAACATATCTGCTTTGAAATGTTAGAACACTGTCGGCCTCAATTCGTTCTATGTTATTTTGATTTTCGAATCTATATTTCAATTACATTTAAAATTGAATTTAGACATTAACTCTATTCAATTTTTAGTCTTTATATTTTAGATAAACGATTGACTAAGCAACGCACGGGTACATATCAATATATATAGACACAAAAGAATGTCGAGCCACGTAATAAATAATGAAAATAACTTAAAGGGAGAAATTTTAAATATAATACTCCATATAAACATAGAATAGGTGTGATATGTACCTCCAGTAGCAGTGGCAGCTGAATATGAAAAGGTCGCTGCATTTACACAAAAAATTACGGAGTAATAAAGAAATTAGTTATTCTGAGTTTTGATTAACCTCATGATAAGAGTAAAACTTAGAGAAAAAAGAAAAATAGGTACTTTATGTTTTTATTCCCAAAATAGAGTTATAATGCCAATAATGTTGTCAACATATAATACCAAAAAAATAGTGGAATGTTAATATACATTGTCACATTGTCACAGTGTCACTTCTACTTGGGGAATAATGACTATGTTTAACTCCAATTTTGGTTGATAGTTTTACTCTATACATGTTGGAAACTAAAATAGTAGTAGTAAAAATTATACTCTCTCCGTTTGGAAAAAGTCTTCCCACTTTGACTATAAGGCAAAATAAAGAAGTGTAAAATTATTGTTGACTTCCAATTTTGCCCCTGATGTGATGGATAAAAGTAAGATGTGATGGATTTATTATTAGAGAAAAAGCATGATGTGATAGGTAGGGTATGAAAAAGTAAGGGTAAAAGTGGTTTTTTTAATAGAAAGGGAAAGTGTTTTGTTGGAAGTGAAAAAATGAAAGAGGAAGTGTTTTTGAGAACGGAGGGAGTAGTTATTAAAAAGGAATGATAAACACAAAAGCACAAAATAAATTGAAGTTGAAATTAAACAAATGAAAGATCTATACTAAGTTAACTCTATTATTCCTTAATAATACTATTGATAACTACTCCAATCCGCATCAAGTTTTATCTCAAAAGTTATACTCCGCATAAATTACTAATACACTATGTTGCATAGATTATTAAATCTCATTTTTCTTCCCGAAAATGTTTGAGTTTTTGTACTCTTCTCCATCCTTGTGCAATACATTAAAGGTATAAAATGATGAATATAGATAAACGTTAGTACTTCTATTTACAAATGTTACTTTTATTTGGCTTTTCAAGGTCTCCAATGTACACTGTAATACTTTAACCATTAATATTTGTATACATATACTCCACTATTTTATAAAAATATGATACAAGGATTTCAAAACTACATTTCAAAATAGTTTTTTAATACATTTTAATTATAACACAATATATGTTTTCATTAATTATGGTAAAAGCATAAGATGATAATAAATTAATAAAAGAGTTGAAACTCGAGTTACTAGCGATGGAGTAAGATAAAGACTAAATTTTTTTAGTGTAAATTAAAAAATCTTACAGATTTGGGACACGCAAAGAAAGGCGAGTAAAAACATCTCAACTTTGTAACAGCAGCAGCCGCAGTCCATTGCGTTAAGAATAGCTGTGGGAATTAAAAGGGAGCTAATAGATCAGAAGCTAATCACAGTATGAGAGATAATATTGGAGTAGCTTGAACTTGAAAGTAGAATATGAAGATCTAGAAGGCCAAGAATAAAGTGAACATAAAACTATATATAGAATCTGAGGGCAATATGTACATGAAATAATAAAATATTCTCTCGGTCCACTTTGATTCTTCCCAATTGACTTTTTACGGTCTACTCCCTCCGTCCCACTGTTTTTGTCCATTTTCATTTTTACACACCATCCAATGCACTTCTTTAATCCATTTTATCTTGTAATTTGTATATTAAAAAATTATAGAAATTATATATTAATAATCTATATGTTAAGACAAATCAAACAAGATCACACATGACTATATTTAGGCTTACACATTGAGAGAATTTGATGAGTCAAAGTGCTTAGATGAACAGTTCCTAAAGTCAAAAGTGGACAAAGAGAGTGGGATGGAGGTAGTATAAAGCAACATTTTGACCATTAGTGTCTTTATTTATAGGTAAATCTATATGAGTAATACTCCGTAAATTGTATTCACTTTCTTTACCTTTTTGCATTATTTATTTTATAAAATAATATATTGATGTCATCTCTTGTTTTGTAGAACTGATGATGTAAGCTTTTATATATACAATTTATTTTTTAATTCCAACACAATTCTCAAATAAAACAAAATGAAAATAACTTCATATTAACATCGTAAACCGAAACATGCACTATAAATGGGACGGAAGGAGTATAAAAAATAGAGTGAATTCCCAGAACAGTCCTTTCAAATAAGTTGTTTTCCCAAATTAGTCTTCAATAAGTAATAATTTCCAACATGGTCCTTTATAATGAGAGTTAAAAGGAATGTATTTCGGTATTTTTTATCATTTAGATTTAAACTATGTTCTCGAAATGCTCCTTTATAATTAAGTGTTTTTCCAAAATGACAATTTCTAAGAAAGTGTTTTTCCGAAATGGAGCCCATGAGCCCGACTGGGGTGGGTCCGTTACTCTAGCAGTCACCCACTTAATTTGAAAGGACCATTTTGAGGACTTATTCATAATTTAGATGATGAAAAATACCAAAATACTCTCAACTTAGCTCTCATTTTAATAAGCATTTTTTACATAAGACTATTTAGGGAATACATCTCAATTATAAAGGACTATGTTGGTAATTATTGCTTAATGAGGACTAATTTGGAAAAACACCTCATTAGAAAGAATTGTTTTGAAAATTCACTAAAAAAAATAATTTTTCAAAATGAAATTATTAATATTAAATTTATATCACAATTCAATTGTTCTTTTTCATGCTTATTAGACAATGTTTAGAAACTTGACCATGAAAGTTAAATTGAGAAGAATCAAAGTGGACGAAGGGGAGTACTACATAAAAAATTGGGGTAAAATTACATTGAGTCATGGGTACCCAATTTGCACATCAAAGGCAAAAGCTGACGTAAATACTCCCTGTGCAGGCAATATACACTCGTGTCTCTATTTGCCTTTGGTGTACAATTGGGATTCAAACTGGGATATCATTAGCTTTTCTCAATAAAACCTTTATCCTGAATGTGTTGATAAACATTGACCATAAATTAATCTAATACTCCGTATTAGATATTGATTGAAAAATACGTTTATTAGATCTATGTTGTAAGATATTTTCAAAATATTATTTTATCTAATTAAAAATTCATATACGAAGTAATTTTATTGAATTAAAGGTCAAAAGGTGATCATAGTTGAGTTCAAAAAATTAAAATTAGACACACTCTAGGACGGAGATCAAAAAGTATATAAAATTCTACCTATTGATAAAAATATTATGGAGTCATACTCTCGCCTAATCAGTGACGGCGTATAAACTATAAAGGGGGGAAAATTGGACTAGTAGAAGTAAATAACATTTTCCCCGCCACATTATTAACAGAAGAGAATGACATTAAAATTTATTTAAAAAATAACTTTATAGTTGATATTGATTTAAATAGTAAGATATACCCGGACTAGTTGATATTGATAAGCCATTTTCACAAATCAAATTTCCACTCTTATCTCTAATGGCAAGGAAAAGGGGGTGACCAAAGAAGAAAATGGACAATCAATTGAGACAACACTCAAATCAACAATCTACTGAAAAAAGGATTAGTAGTTTGATACACATATGATTCATGCATTGGGTTCTTTCTCACAAATTACACTTGGAGTACTCCAAGTTGGCACCAAGTTTGACACTACTTTTTTCATTTGCATTCACAAACATGTACGGAACAATGGGGAATACATGTGATGTCTCAAAGAAAGTGGTGTCAGGATTGGCGTTAAACTCAGGTACTCTAGACATTTTCTTTTTCTCGCACCCTATAGAACAATGTTGTCTCTATATTCATTAAAATATTAACTAAAGTTCTGCAAAGATGTAAAGCGTAATAATTACTCCATCTCTCCCAAAATAGATTACCTTATTACTATTCTGACCTCTCAATAACTTTTGTTTAGTTGTCACGTCTTCTTTTGTAAAACTTTTGATATAGTTTTAAAATATGTAATTTGTACTTTTATTATAATATAATTTTTAAAAGTGGTACCATTTTGCACGTTGTTCCAAATAGGAAACATACTTGAGGACAAATGGAGTAACTAGCTGAGTTGCAGCATGAAACTCTTAGAACTTGACATTTTTGGGCGTAGTGGCATCATTTGTTGTATTAAAGAATATGAACATAATGCCGAGCATTATTTAGAGTATTTGTTTTTTAATCCCGCACTACTTTTTTAAGGTAAATTTTCAACCAATTACAAAAAGTGGCGGGCAAACGAGCAACAAACTGCGCAACAACCCCCTCTTGAGTATCAAACCCGGTCCTACTATTGTGAATATTTCAATTTTTTGCATTAATATGAATGCAACAAGCTGCAGCACAACTCCCTTTAGAGTATTAATGTGAATATTTCAGTTTTTAATACAAAGTTTCTATTTTAGTTATATTTTTTTTATTTCTACTCCGTATTTGTTTTAATAATGTATAGTAATATAATGAAGTATTGAAGTTCAATTAAATACTTTGTACTATTAATATTTTGTAGTCCCTCTATCCCATAAACTTTTTACACTTTCCTTTTTGAATCTCAAAAAAAATCACACTTAATTTATTTCCGATTTTAGCAATGAAAATGTGACCACCAAGAACTCTCTTATAAACAAACTCTAATCACAAACTCTTAAGCTTTTACCAACCTTTTTATAATTCATGAAGTCAAAGTGACAAATTTTAATGGGATGGAAATCATGGAAGTAGTTCTAGTGTTAATGTATTTTTCAGTTTCTATCATTATTATTGTTTTAACATCTTAATAAATAGTCTTCTTTTTAAAAAATTATTTTTTGTAATGAATAATTTTTGTTATGTAACTAATTATGATTTTTTTAATTACTCCATATTTTAGAATAGAGATGATGAAGTAATAATAATAATAATAATAAGGGATAAAAAGTAGTAGTATTTCTAATGTGGGTGTGGAGGTCAGATACTGATGGAAAATAATAATCCCACCGTGGCACCGTTTCACAAAATAATCAAACTTTTACTTTTCACTCTTCCATATATTAATTCTACTTTTAATTAAATCTCATATTTAGCTCTATTAAGTAATACCGAACCTATCACACCATATCTATTCATCATTAGTGTATCCATCACATCCTATTCTACACATTATACATACAAGGGTAAATATTAAAAATTACACGTAAATTACACATACCTGAAATCTAACTATTTTGTGCAACAGAGGTAGTATAAAAACTGATGGATGATTGATGTGGCAGAGAAAGGAATGGAGGTGGGAAAAAGCTAAAGGCACACTACATATAACATTTTTGTGTCTCAAAGACACACATAGACAGCGTACAACTTATGTTTGTATCTCTAAGACACAACAATATCATATGGGGTGTCCCTCTAGGATGACTAAGGTTGTGTTTTGTCCAACCTATTTTTTCTACTTACTACTTATTTTTATTACTTATTTTTTCAGCAATGATTAAATAATAATTACTATGCGATTAAATCATGTTACATCATTTAATGTTCCATATGTGATATACAATTAAATAATAATAATATTGTTACATATGATTAAATAATATGTGGTACTCACTAAGTTACAGTTATAATTACTATTTTTATTATTTTAGTAATAAGAATAAAAATTTTAATAATCATGCTTTTTTGTCTTATAAAAAATTTCTCATCTTATCTTCATGAAGATTAGAAAAGTGTATGAATGATATTGATAAGATGTTGAAACTTAGAAGTAAGTGGTTACTTTTTTAAAAGGAAGCGATGTTTTTTTGGAGTACATATACACTTCTAATAAAAAGATACATTTTTATTTTAAAAAAGAATGATAAAGAGTGAAAAACTTTTAGACATCCACAATAAAAGATCATGTTAGCACGGTTTATAACAAGATTAACGCAACATCTATATTTCTAGCATGATTAGAATGAATAATACAAATGTTATCATTTTTGTAACATAACATCAATACTTTCCAATGATTGGTTATTGTCAAGAACTTTCTTCTTTTATGCCTTCAATGTATTGTTCAATTTTTTTTTCTTTCATAAAGCAAATAAATACACAAATATACAATAAAAGTTGTTGGATGTAATATATTCATGAATTAAATAATAAGTATACGAATGATTCTTATAATGTTAAAAAATAAAAATAAAAATAATTATACCGTGATTTGGGGTGCCTGAGATTGGTGTTCCACTTTTTATAAAATTCCAAAAGTCATCGCCAATTCTTACTCCACTCCCTCCATCTCCAAATAAACATGACACATGCATAACGACGCTTGAATGAAGTTATTATTTAATTTATTCTATTTAAATATTGGAGCAAATTTAAAAATAAAAAATATATACGCAATTTGTCCCAAAAAATGCCCTTGTTATTATTCGGGTTTTTTGGATAAATTTTTTTTTGTGTATGCTTTTTCATAGTTTGTTGTTAAGATAAAATATTCGTGTTACCCCTTTTTATCCCTAATTAGTAATCGACCTCGCCAGATCATTTCCAATTTGACAATTTCCATTATTCCATGAATTATTTGAACCAATTAAAAATATATTTTTTTAAAGAGGAAAAATGAAAACAAAACTGCTTTTTTAATCAAATTGCAATACATTATCATTCTAAAAAAACATAAAAATTACGGAGTAAAATCGAAAGAAGAAGAAGAAATCGCTCAATTCAGACAATTAAAGTTTTTTAAAAAACTGTCAAGTATATAAAGGATGAAAATTGAAAAGGGAAATAGAATTAGGGGTTAAATCATTACCTGAACTACTGCCTACTGGAGGGCAGAGCCGTAGAGGCTGGATGCAGAGGGTTGTGACGCTCTTCGGCGTCGCTCTTCAGAGATCGGAGGTCACGACTCCGTCCGAACGGCGATTCGCCCCTTCCGGTATTATTCAGAGTTCGGATGGCCATACTGTATTCTCGGTAATGGAGCAGCGTGAGCCTGTAAAGTTTCATCCCCTCTCCTTGATTTTCTTTTAGCCTTTGATTTCACTTTATAAGCCTAACTCTACATTATTAGACATTCTTTTATATATTCTTGGTTCCAAAATATTCACAATATTTACTTTTTCTGCAATTGCGAGAATTTTTATTTATTTTTATGTTTTCATTGTTATTTGATAAAATAAATGTTATTTGATAAAATAAAATATTCTTGACACCTCTTATTTCAAAGAACTTTTCATATAGTTTTTTTATATATAAATTTTATTTTTTATTTCTAGACCAATATGTAAATAAAATGAATTAAAAAAACTTGATATTTTCCCTCGAAAATACAAGTATGGCAAATATATAGTGACGGATGGAGTATGTTAATGTACTAGTATTTTGATCCGTGCCACACGCACGGGGTCGAACAAAATTTTTTGTCGATTCTAAAGAAATTCATGCAATATTTTTTGGAATAAAAAAAATATACTTCTCATATGATTTTTAATACCATAAAAAACCAAAGTGAAATAAATAATACTTAAGGAATTGAATATATACAAAAAAAATTAATACCAAATTCTCTGAAAGATTTCAAGGTATACAACATTTTTAGTATGGTTGCAATGGTTTTCATTGTCATCTAAGACCAATATTTTTAATTATGTCTTTGTCTTCACTCGCGAAACAATAACATAAAGTTGACTATCAGTGAACACTGACTTAGTTAAAAATAATCCAAATCACAATATTTGACCTTGACTTTTATTGATAGTCATAGCAAAACATAAGACTATTGGAAACTGACTTCTCTGAAACTTTACGGGTAGTCTTGTATCAGATGATACCAAATTCATCTGGAGGTATGTAAACTTTTCCCCCACTCAATTTCTCGAAACAACAATAACACTGATAACGTTCTTTTGCAGTTCGTAAACAGTTAATCTTGTATAACTACACAGTCCAGATATTTTGGTCAATGTTTCTTAATAACATAGTTGGTACTCCTTTTTTAAACTACATGTAGTTTAGAATCCCCGATCATTTGACTTCACTCAAAAACTCAATTATTATCTAATCACCATTAACACTTACATTTCAATCTACCTGGCATGAGGAATCTGAACTCAAGTACACCATTTTATTTTCGGGAATGAGTGATAGGACAAATTCGTTTACCACTTCTACATCTTCGAGGATGGGTGCTAGTAGTGCCTTATCCTCGAAAAAAGAATAACTTTTCTTATTCTCCAATAGGTTCGGATAAGTGAACTTTTCTTATTCTCCAATAGATACTTTTTTAGGAAAAATGTAATGGAAATGTTTAATTTTTAATTCGACATAAATATTTACCATTTGTCACATCACAGAGTACATTCTTTCTCAAATAGGTTCAATTATGCGAGGTTATAGCCGATGATAATGTCTCTCCACGTGTATATGTAATTTCTATCATGAAAAAATAGTGGACTAATATATATTTTTTTTGGAGAAGTACAACTTTTATTCATACTTCTTTTAGGCATGAGTTATAAATTTATTCACTAATTTTTATACATGATAGTTTTTTGAAAATAAAAGCTTTGGTACAAAGTTCATTTTTTATGTGTATTAAAATGTAAAAATAAAACCAACTAAAAATTTGACTATACAAAAAATAAAAAATGAGGATTTAAGGTTGGTCCCTAAACGACATTGATAATAATATTATTATTATTATTATTGTTAACTAAAATAATAGTAATAATAATACTAATAATAATAGTAATACTAATAATAGTTATAAGATTATTATTATTATTAATCTTTATATCAACTAATATTTAAAAAAAAAGTTACCAAATTGGTAAAAATAAAAACAAATATATAAAAAGAAAGGAACTTTTAATTGCATGTTTATTTAATAGAACATTAAATATTTTTCGCATATAGTAAAAAATATTCTAATTCTAATAAAAATTATGCTTCATTTTAAAATCAGAATTTTCTATTAACAGCTTTGAAAAAATTAACAAATTTGTGTCACAAAAATTATTATATCTTTCAATAAGAACTTTCAAAAATCGTAGAAGTTGGTATGATAAAAATACAACATTTTTATTTTTCGCCAAAGTTTACCTCTCTTATTTAAAATTTAACATGTAATCATATTTTTAAATAATAAAGTATTTATGTATACTAAGGGATTTAGCTATGAAGAATATCTCGCAACAATAATTTGAATATCACATGAAAAAATCATAGTCACAAATATTTTTGTTTGATTTAGTTATTCAAAAACTTATAAACAAACATGTGTTAGGATACTATATATTCTGATTAAAAAAGGATACTATATATTTTGTTTTTAATGAATTCATTTATAACCAATATGAATCTTTATAATAATACATGAATTATCTTCATTTCACAAAAGTAAAGCTTATTGAAAAATATGAATTCTTTTAAATCAATAAAGTGAAATTAGTAGCTAAAAAATATCTTTATTGAGTGATTTTTTTGTTGAAGCACTTCCTTTCTCACGTTGTCGCTTCTTTTGGCAATAACCATCTTTATACGGTTAGATGGAAAAAATAGCCAAGAATGTCATGTATTTATATATAAATCTTGAGGTAGATGTCAAAATAAAAATAGTAATCGCATTAATAATGATTGATACTATGTTTGATATCAATTTTAAAAATGTAAAACGTAATATAAGAAGTCAAACATCATGATTAATCTCTAAAATTATAGAAAGTAATAAGGAATTAGAAAAAAATTTACTTAATTTAGAATCTAGAAAATCTAATTACTTGCGGACTTTTTTACTTGTATAATAATTTCCAGAAAGAATTTAGTTTCTTCTTACATCATCCGGATCATATTTAAAGATGACGGTGATAATGATAATCATTATTATAGATATTGTTGTTGTTGTTGTTCTTATTATTATTTAAAAAAAATTAAAAATTAATTTTAAATTCTACCATTTTCTTTTTGTTAAGGAAAATAATTTGAGTATCATTTATTTTTTAAATAAATTTCAACCACATGTATTTTTTTAATTTTTTTCATTAATTTATATGGTTATTTTTTTAATTTTTGGAAAAGTCAAATTATTAGTCGGTCGGTTTTTTCTTCTTTAATATATGTGTTATACTAAAAAAATACATTATTTTTTCATTCATATTTTTTGTTGCATTTTAATATACATAGTATACATTTCTATTTTCAAAAAGATTTTGAAATATCAAATTTATATTATTCAATTTTATTTTTACAGAAAATAGTGTTTGAGTATGATATATTTTTTTGTTTCAAATAAATATCACAGTATTTTTTACATCAATATTACGGTCATTTATTTTTTGGTGAATTCAAGCTGCTAGTGGGTTTTTCAATAGTGTAAAAGTATTTGAAAAACAATGTTAACCTCAAAGATGTTAAAATTTGAGGTTTGCATGAATACTTTTTATCATTTTTTTCTTTTAATAAAAATAAGCCATGTGCTATGTAATAAACATTGCATATATATATATATATTGCCTTTTAACCTTCGTGATATAAACACATTTATAAAATTGTTTAAAACCTTTTATCAATTAATAGCTTAAAGGCCATCAGTTTAATTGGCATCAATGTCTTACTCCGTATATAATATTCTTTAAATTTTACTCAGTTATACGTGGCGGTGACATGTTAAAATTTTGCCAAATAGAAACGCCAAATGTCGAATTCATGTGAATCAGAGTGTAACGCCCCGAAACCTGGCTCAAAAGAATTAATTAAATTGTTAGAGCAATTGATTACGAATTGGGCCCAATAAGGGGCTGAAATTTTAATTTGGATTTTAAGCCCAACTTTTATGTCATCTCGTAGGAAATATTTTTGTGATCGCGGCGGTTCAGACGGCTCGCGAATCGGAGTTACAGAGCTCAAGTTATGACAATTTAATCAGGTATTTTGGGTCCGAAGCCCAATCCTTTTTGGAATGAGACCATTAATTAAACCTAAACCTATTATCTACCACACAAACCTTATCCTTCTTTTCCGTCCTTCTCCTTTTTCTTCTTCTTCTTCGCCCTTCTTCTTCTTCCTTCTTCTTCT